AGAACAATTTAATAATGGAAATAAAATAACAGTTAAACGAAGCTGAGAGAGCTGGGGCTGTTCAGCCTGGAGAAGAGAAGGCTCTGGGGGGACCTTGTAGCTGCCTTCCAGTACCTGAAGGGTGCCTGTAAGGAAGCTGGGGCAGAACTACTGTTTACAGGGGCAGGGAGCAACAGGACGAGGGTGATGGTTTTAAACTAGAAAAGGGCAGATTTAGGTTGGATATTAGGAACAGGTTCTTCAATATGAGGGTGGTGGATCATTAGAACAGGTTGCCCAGAGAGGAAGTGGAGGCTCCATCCCTGGAGATATTCAAGGTTAGGCTTGATGGGGCTCTGAGCAACCTGCTCCAGTGAAGATGTCCCTGCTCACTGCAGGGGGCTGGACTAGGTGACCTTTGAGGGTCCCTTCCAACCCAATACATTCTATGATTGTTTCCCCTAGCAGGGTTTGCGGGGGGGAGGAAGCCATTTCCCACCTGTTTCTCCCCAGCCTGCCTCCTGTGCTGGGGTGGCCCTTTGTTGCAGCTGGGGGCAATCTAACTAACTAATTAACCCTGCTGCTGGCCAGTGTGTGTGGGAGACTGGTTTGGTGGCCACAGTTTGCTGTGCACCTGCTGAGGAGCCCTGCTGGGCACAGCCCTGCACGCACCCAGGTGTTCCCAGTCTCCATGGCCACCTCCATGTCTCCAGGAACCCACAGCTGGAAACTTCTCCTCTGCTTTGTCTTGAGCTTGTCTGTGGGTCTTGCATGGGACCGATAACGCTTTCACCATGAGCTGTGAGATGCTTGAAATATTTGGGGTTAAGTGTGTAACTGGTCTGTGTACAAACATGTTAACAGAGAGTTGTGTTGAGCAGGGCTTCTCCCCATCTTCACGTTTCATGGACAATTCCCTGGATTTAGCAATAACACTCGGTGCGGCGGCGTTTCCAAATACCGGCCCTGTTCTTGCAGTGCTCTGCCCCTGTCAGAGCGCGCAGGTCTGAGCCGTACGCGCCCACGCTGACCTGATGAGCTATCGCCTTCCAGGGGGTGAATAGTGGGAAGCTGCTGTGCCTGGAGTGGGGCAGCCTGGGAGGGGAGATGGTGCCTGTGAAGCCCAGCTCTGGTTTGGGGCATGGGCAGCCCTGGAAAGCGCAGCAGCCAGGCTGGGCACTGTCTCTTCATTTGCTGTGTGTTCTTATTTAGAGAGCTGTGGAAGGTCCAAACCACTAAGGTCAGCGCAAGCAACTGTGTGAAGTTGGGCAGAGAAAGTCGGGATGCAAAGTCTGATCGGGTGCGAGCATCAGACTGAAAAAACCCCGTGGCCCTCTTCCCAAAATGGGGATAGAAAGGGAGAAGGGATGGCTGATGGCCACAGTCATCCAGCCAACTGCAGGGCTCTTTGTCGGATCCAACCACCACACACAACGTTCAGCATCATATAATGTTTGTTCAGTTTTAGGAACAAAATTTGCTTGGACAAACTATCTTTGTTAAAACTTGGTGGATGGTGGTGGCCATGGTGATTATTGCCCTAGAGGAATTTTATGAACTGCACCAGTAGTTGCTTGTCCTGAGGATCCTTTAGGACAGCTCTGGTGCAGCAGCTTGCACTAAAGTCCCTCCAGACTTGATTCAACTCCAAATTAATTACTAGGGAAATGCATGTACATTCTTAATATCACTTTGAAAATACTTTGGGCTCTTTATTTTTATGTTTTTGCAAGTGTTTGAGGCCTGCTTCACACGTAAGCCAGGGTGAAACAGGAAGGACGTGGTGCTTTGCACATCCCTCTGCCTGGCAGCACCAGTTAATGCTGGTACAATTGTTAGACTGATGTAACCACTGATAGAAAAATGAATGGGTAAACAGAACTGTTTGATTAAAAAAAAGAGATAAGTGAGTGCAAGTCATATGTGTGCTATTTTAAGCAAGGCAAAGGTATTGGTCACGTTACCTCTGCTCAGAAACTAAATCCCATTTGACCAAATGAGGAGGAGAGCAACTCTGCCTCCCCTCAGTGCTGTGAAGAGGAAGGTGCCAGTTCCCTTTGGGATTCACTGAAATACTTATGCTGCCTGTGATCAAATTAGAGTGTGATACAGGGCATGCTGTGCTGTATTTTCTGACTTGGGATTTTAACAGCTGTGTCACACATCCAGGTTTCATTTGTGCTTGTCAGTTCTGTTGTATGTTCCATGTGTTGCTCACACCCTGGCCAAGAGCCGTGGACCTCACGTTGTGTCCAGGGTGCTGCTTGTCTGTCACAGAGTCCGAGCGCTCTCTCTTAGGCTGCAGCAAGAAACTTGTTTCATCTCCAGGAA